CTGTACAAAAATAAAAGTTATGTTGTAATATGCCTATTATTATTTATTTTATTTACTACATAATGATACAAAAGTGACAGCAACTGACTGAAACTACTGTAAAAAATCCTCTCCGAAATTATTTTTCTCAATAATAAGCCTGGTGCCATACTAATTGTGTTGTTCATCATCCTCCTTTTTTTTTGTTAACGTGGGGGAAATTCGTACCCATACCCACCATCGCGGGGGCAAAGACTAATTATGTCGGACTCGCACCGATTAAAACCGATGTTCTCGGCTAAAACCTTTACTCGGCCTCTTTTTCACGGCCAATAAACTCCCACGGACTCGCTGATGGCTAAGGCCAGGTCATGGGAGCCAGGAAAGACAGTGCTAAGAAGTAGCAAGCCTTCCAGCCCCCAGCGGCGAACTTGGTCTGTGGCTCCGCCGCTCTACACGTTTCGGCCGCGGAGGGAAAGGAGAACGGCGTATCGCAATATCGATACCCCTGTCCCCCCGCGGTCCACCCACCTCGGCATCAGCAGTGGAGCCCCGCCGAGTCGCGGAGAGGAAGAGCGACAAAACGCAAAACGAGACACTCCTCTTCCTCCACGACTCCTCCTCGGTAGCAGAAGACTGAAAGAGTGGCTCCGTGAACTGTCCTCAACACCCTCCAAGCGCGCATCCAGATTGAGATCAATGAGCCGATCATCACCCTCCTGCCTTTTTTTATGTGAAAAGTTGTCAAATGAGCAGACGGTTCACCTGATGTTAATTGAATACCGCCGCCCATGGACATCTGCTATTCCCGAGGGTTCCAGATATTTATAATTTTTATTATATTAGAACTATTTTATATTATATCATCAGTGATGAAAATAAATGAAGGAAATAATATAATCCAAACCTTTAGAAGTAGATGGTGCATTGAACATAATATTATCCATAGGACATAATGGTTTTCTTGAACCCGAGTTTGTCAAATTTATTACGGTCGAGTTTGTTTGTCAATGATAATAACAAGAATTCATTATATATTAGAAAATTTAAATTGTTAAGAATACTCACAGTCTAAAAAACTAGATGTTTCACAAGATTTTAAAACAACATCTTGATTATGTTTATCTGAAATATCAACAACAGATTTCACTTATCACATCAGTTACGCTTGATATAACTAAAAGTTAAAAATCTGTCAGATAAAGTCAACAGTGTTAAACTAGTTAATAATATGAATGTTGTTCCTTTATAATATGTAGAAAAAGTGCGAAAAGATTGTCGCCGCTGTGGGAATCGAACCCACGTCTTCGGCATTCGCGGCCTGACGCTCTAGCCATATATCGTTTCGTTTCTGTTGTTCCTTTATTTTTAGTTTCCCATAAAATTAACATTATTTAAGTCAACTTCCAATGTGATGGTGAATCAATAACATCTTTCTTACAACTCTTCTTGTTCATATTGGCCAGCTTACAAAAACCAAATTAAAAGTGCGCATTTGTGTTTCGGTATCTGATGAAGCCTAGGCCTGTTTTAAATGTTGGCAATGCACTTGGGCAGTGATTATGAATAAATATCAGCTGAACCCTTTACCGTCATGCTGTAAAAGAAACTATTTTCTTACCTGGCATATTTATTGTTGGAATCGCTATTTTTGAAAGCCTTTCGTTACGACACCAATACTTTGGCTCGAAATGTGCATGGCAAACACGGCGATATTTAAAAATGTGCTCATTGGTTAATCCTCTTAACTCATGTGCACTAATGTTCGATATCCACGTGTTAAAACGTTTAGGGTCCTTCATTGGATTAGGAAAAACATGAAGCACGCGCCGAGATGCTAAAAAAATATATTTCATTAAGCAAAATTACTAAATACCTTTGTCGCATGTTACATTTGTATGCAACTTGAAATTTTTAGATATGGTATAAGTTTGGTAAAAATTTCCTTAAGTTTCCGGGTGTTTTCGACCAAACAAAAAGTTTATTCGGTTAAGAAAAATCACTAATGAAATAATCAACAATCAGAATTTGGCGGTCCTTTGTAGTTATCGAGAAAAAAAATATATTTAAAACTTGTTATTTTCACTAAATTAATCCGCCATTTTATGTTTGACAACATGTATTAATTTACGATTTCACACACTTTTCAAAATTCCTTCGTATTATTCAAAAAGAGTCTTTAAAAATACTAAAAGTACTGTTACACTAAAGTTTTCTGGGTGGTCATAAAAAAAAACCTAACATCGAAGGCTAAGGCGGGAGCGAAGCTCCCGCCTTACTAACCTAACCTATCCGAGTCGGATCGCTCTGTGTCGGATTTGTCACTCTTAAAATTAAAAGAAAATTAATCTTCGCCCACTTCCTATATTTTTCATGTTAGCGGTACTGTGTATTCAGTTTTTGAAGTCAAATTGGTAAAAATGGTGAACTTTCTTAGTGAAAATTACGTTTTAAATAATTTATTTTCTCGAAAACTATAAGCAACCGCCAAATTCTGCTTCGTGAGTATTTCATTAATGATTTTTCTGTACCTAATTACATTTTTTTACGTCGAAAAACACCCGGAAACTTAAAGAAACTAATACCACCACTAGATTATGAGAAAAAAATTAACAAAGTTTTTAAATTTCATACAACTGAAATCCGTCATTACTGTGCGTCCATTATTCATTATAGACTATTATTTTAAGTTAAAAACTTACGTTTTCACTTTTTACGTTGTAAGAAGACACAAATACACGGATATATCACAAAAACACAAGTTTCTACTTCATGAACATGTATTATTAACAATTTCTAATATTTAAAATTTGTGACTTAGGGTACACTTAATGTCTCGAATATTAGGTTCAAAATGAGTCACAGATCCGACACAGAGCGATCCGACTCGGATAGGTCAGGTTAGAAGGTTAAGGCCTTAGCCTTCGATGTTAGGTTTTTTTTTTATGACCACCCAGAAAACTTTAGTGTAACAGTACTTTTAGTATTTTTAAAGACTCTTTTTTAATAATGCGAAGGTTATAATTTGGAAAAGTGAGTGAATGCTTAAATTTATACATGTTGTCAAACACAAAATGGCGGATTTATTTAGTGAAAATAACAAGTTTTAAATATTTTTTTTTTATTAAAAGTAAGTGTTTGCCTTGGCTTTCACGTATGTAATATTTAATTATTAACATTTCTCTATCGATTAAAATTTCTTTCTAGCTTGAAAAACGAGACGTACTGTTCGGAATATTTACCCTAGTGGTTTTCATTGATTATAACTTATATAATATTTAATTATTAACATTTCTCTATCGATTAAAATTTTTTTCTAGCTTGAAAAACGAGACGTACTATTCGGAATATTAGCCCAAGTTTTATCTGACGGCATGTTATAGAAGTAAATAGTATTTCTTGGAACAGTTATGTTAATAACTAAATAGAAACACACCGATGTGCCGGAGTAAATAACTCAACGGGCTTAGAGTCAATATCTCAATAAGAACACACTTCACCGCAAAATACTGCTGGAGGAACGAATTCTACTCAACGGACTTATATAAATGCAACAAAAAATGTTGAAGAAAACACAATTTATCACAACGCACAAGCACAAAGCACGGCAGCCATGACAATAAATTAAAAAAAATTCCCTTCTTTTTTTACCGGGTACCATTCATTACAGCGCCCTCTCTGATTCTGAGTTATTAACTACTAATTATAATGCAACAAAATTAAAAATACTCTTAATAACGTAAAATCATTCGTCTAAAAAGTCATCTTAAATTTATATTATAATATATTAGAGGAACCAACTTTTTTGTACTGAGCAAACGTAGTGATTACATTCTCTTTGGTACTGAGTTTGAACTCCCTGTCCGTAGGCAACGGACGCGTAGCATATCCCTCGCTGCCAGTGCTCGGCAGGCTGTTTTTTTTTATTTTCTTTATTATAGGCTTATTTTGAGCCCTGATGCACGTCAAAAAACTACCATCGGCTCACTAGACCTGTCCAGAGAATAACCGGCAAGACACTGCGGTCTTATTATGTTATGATTCTTTTAATTAAATAAGTTTACAATATTATTTAAATATCAAATCAGCAGCAGCCAGGGGACATGCCAATGCAGTTGTTGAATGATGTTCCCGAAAAATATGTGAAATTGAATGATGCCCCAGTTGAATTTGTCTGGATTGTCAACTGAGACTACCCAGTATTTAAATCATGTCAGGTATTAGGCCAATTAGTCCGCCAATCCGCAGTGGGGCCGCGTGGTGAACAAGGCCCTGATACCCTCTGTATAGAGGCCTTTGCCCAGCAGTTGGACATAAATAGGCTGTTACTGCTGTGAGATAGAGATAGGTGCATTAACTCCATATTACTTACGTCAAAATTCCATCTCGATTAACCAAATCTACATATAGATAGAATATTAAAACTGGCCGTAAAAGTCGTCGATTTATCAAAAGTTTTTGAGCGTGTAGTTTTATAAGCTGTTAATTGCAGGTGTGCCGATGGATAGCATTTCTCTTCTCCGATATAAATGTCTACGAATAAGGCGGATCTAGAGAAGAATCCTATTATTTTATAATTTTATGCATTTTACATATTTGATTTTTATATTTATTAAGTTCACGCCAAAAGTAAAAAATGTAAAGTAACTTGATAAAATCAGTTGAACATCAAGTCAAATTATAATTAATATTTTAATATGAACTGTCCATTTTCGGCTATAAGCTCAGATAGATAACAGCATATAATATAAATAACTAGTCGATGGGGTTAAATAAAACAATACACATGTTTAGCCTATATTTAATATATACAAAAAGAATGAGCGGCTAATGGCCGCCCGTCACTCGTTACTTAGCGCTCGGTGCCCAATGCTAATACAACTAAGGCAACCGTCAAAATCTCGACGCGCGACAAGCTCGCACATCGCGACATACTTTACCGTCACGGATTGTATGCGACCAGTAGTTAACTCGTCAATTGGCGGCAGTCGCATTAGTATTGAGCGTATGTTAGCCATTCATGGTAGCGGGGCGCTGCGGCTGTAAATGGAAACTGTAAATATGCGTACAGATATTGAAAACGGCGTAGTGAATGTGTTTGTGACATCAAAGTAGACGCCATCGTAGACATCATCGTAGAAGTCGTCATAAATGTCTTCGTTGACGACAGTGTAGACGACGTCGTAGACATCGTCGTACACGTCGTCATAGATGTCAGTGTAGACGTATTCGTAAACGTCGTCGTAGAGGTCGTCGTAGACTTCTCTCGTAGGCACACACGCCCCGCCCCCACCGGACGTCAATCGCACAGTGACGCCCGTCGCGTCCGTATTAAAGTATTGCGTATGTTCTCTAAATAACTCGTCGAATAGTCCATGTTGAGCGCGCGCCCGCAACGCTGTCAGCACGCGCACGCACGCACAGTGCAAGTCGGGTAAAATCAACGCGCAAAGCTCGTTCGCGTAACGCCGCCTATGGCAGACCATCCAAACATTTGATCGCTCGAAATGCAGCCGTTTCCGTTACTATAATCATATACACGATATTATATTACTGGATTACTTTTCGAAATTTGAAAAAGGAAAACTCGCGGTACTCAATACGAAATTTAAGGCATCGCGTAATTCAAATTAGCGTGTGAGCGCGTCGCGTCGTGAGCACGGTAAGGCGCGTGGCGCGTGCGTGTCGCGCGCAAGCGGCGGGCGTGACGCGGCCGTGTCGCGTGCTCGTCGCGGGCGTGACGCGTTCGTGTCGCGTGACGCGTGACGCATGTCACGTGTCGCGTTCACACCGCTCGGCTAGTGCCGGCGGTCGGCCAGCGCGGATTGGTGCGACAGGTGCGACAGCGCAGAGTGCGCCGACGAGCAGAGGTCCTGAGAACGAAATATACGCCTACAATGTTAGTCGCACGATAATAATATTCATCATCGTCACCAATCGGGGGGAAATCTTCAAAAGATACCCTGTCACCTTACAAGGCAGGGTTATGTGGGGTTTTTACACACTAAAGCTCCCTCGGTGGCCACCTACTGTACGTTTGGTGGGACACCGGGATCTGCCACGGAACGCACCGGCGTCCCTCGGTACTGCGCGTGAGCACGCATCGGAGAAGGACAGACCTTCCCCGATCCCCTCGCCATGTGCAGTAGCTCGATAACACTCCGAGCTGCCGTAGCGTGGGCCCCGGTTACCTCACTCACCAGAGGAAAACGCAGAAGTGTAACACTTCCACTTCACGCTGGTCTTCTGTGAGGTCGTAGTATTTACCCGGACGGACCTGCCCATCCGTGCAACGGCGCGGTCCTACCGCAGTTAGGTCGGACTACGGTGTCGAAAGGCGGTAAGTGATACACAATCACCTGGTAGGAGAACTGCGGGAAGTGCTCCTCCTGTATGCGCGCCAGGCCGGACTCGTGTTCGGGCGGCGTCAGCTCGACTGACTCGCCGGTGAACTCAGAGTCGAAGTAGCGCGTGTCCGTTTCGGTCTCCACCTGCGGCTTGAACGGCGGCGGGATCTGCCGGAGTCGGCCTTATTACAATGCGCCCAGATCTTTAAGTCGTTTGAACGCAGAGCGGTTGCGATATCGTGTCTTTAAAGGTAAAGTGGCAGCGTATTATGTCCCACTGCTGGGCTTAAACCTCCTCTGAACGGAGGGCATTGTGCACCACGCGACTCATGTGGATTGGCAGACTTCAAATAAAATAAAATACCAGCCTATACAGGGTGGCTTTTCTAAGTGTATCCATTTTTTTTATTAAATTCTAGACATAAATAATGTTATATAAAAACCTACTACTACCGAGTCTGAACCTCCTGTGTAAATTTGAGCATTTCTCAAAAAATCTCCCTGTATACAGCTGTCCCACAGCTGGGCGACGGCTATTGGCTACATAGATGGTATTAGGGCATAGTCCCCCATGCGACTTTAGTACGGATTAGCGAACTACACACATCTTCGATATATTTTTATTATTATTTCCAAAATATGCAGTTGTCCTCACGATGTTTTCATTCACCACTTATTAATAGATGAGCAAATGAGCAACTAAAATGAACGGTAGCCTATCGAAACTATAACTTAGAAAAGAAATTATGCGCATAAATAAATTCTTTCGTTGATTATCTGCAAACAATAATCAGCAAATAGTGGTTGAAAATTAATAATAATAGATAAAAGTGCAGTTTCTAAGTATCCACAAAGGGCATATTATAGAAACTATAAGTTTTTCCAAATATGAAGAATTAAAGGAATCATAGAACCGAATAAACCTTTTGACAAAACTCTATCGCCCGGTTTCTGAAACACTGATCATCGTAGATGTTAGCTAATCAGTTGCAAATGGCTTTTCAAATGTCATTTGAGTTTCAAAAAGGACGGTTTATACACCTAGTTTGAAGTGATTTATTATATTACTAACTGCTGCCCGCGACAACGTCTGTATGTATATAAATTATAGCCTGTCATATTCTGATGTATAAGCTATATTATTGTAGTTTCATTAAAATCCATTCAGTAGTATTTGCGTGAAAGAGTAACAAACATCCATTCATACATACAAACTTTCACGTTTATAATATTAGTAAGGATTACACTTCACTCAATAGTCGACGGTCGAGGTTGAACCTAACTGTACAATTTACGTATTAATCACTGCGGCGGTTGTCGCACCTTTTTGGCCACCAGGTCGGCCCAGTTGATGGACGCGAAGAAGGAGTGGTGCATGATGTCCAGGGCGTCGTCGGGGCCCGCGCCGAGCCGTTTGGTCGGCTCCTTGGTGAGCAGCCCGCTGAGCAATGCTCGACACTCGGCCGAGAGGGTGCGCGGGAACCGAACCTGCAACCGCCCGGTGTTACGCAGATATTACGCGTTCGTAACGCACAAGTGACGCGCACGCCAAACGTCAAACGCACGTCACGCACACGCCGCTCGTGCGTCACTTGCGGGTCACGCGCAAGTGACGCACACATCACTGACACGTCACGCGCCAAACACGTCGCACGGAAGTGACGCACACGTCTGTAGCGTCACGCACACGTCAAACAGCGCTCGACATACGTCACGCACGCACACACGCACGCGTCCGCGCGCACACCACTCCGCGGACCGACCTCCTCGCTTAGGATGAGCGAGAACAGCACGTCGTGGTCGCGGTTGTAGAACGGCAGGCGGCCGCACGCCATCTCATACAGCACGACGCCCGTACCCCACCTGTGGAACAACGGATTTAATACTAGGCGAAATTGGTCCTTTTATCCGGATAGACTATGGAGGTTGAGAAAAATGCATCAGTGTTGTAAGTATAACGTTACGGTTGTCAATACTGTTGAGCCGCCAAATGAACAGATAGCGATTTGATATTGATGACAATATTGAAATGTAATTTTTTTGTTTTTTATTACGTTGATGACAAAATTGGTAAAATTTTGAGACGACATGGGGACACATGGGGTACCCTTTTGGTAAAGATGGTACTGTTTCTGTGCGCATTTCATCATGTGAAGGTACATTAAGCGCGTATTTGTGTAACCACACTGAGCCACTGCACTGACCAGTCCACAGCTGGTCCGTAGTCGAGGTCCTCCAGCACTTCTGGCGCGAGGTACTCGGGTGTGCCGCAGAAAGTCTTTGTGGTGCGCCCGTACGTTATATTCACCTGGAATCAAAACGAATTTACACATTAAATTTTGTAGAAAAAGTACGAAAATATTATCGCCGCTGTGGGAATCGAACCAATATTTTTGTATAAAAAAAATACTATAAAAAAATTTAATTACAAATTACACAATGATATATTTATCCCCTGTGTTGTAGCGCTGTCTGTTTTAATTCATTTTATTAGAGCGCCATCTTTGTTTACTCATTTCATTACAGCATCATCTTTGAATAGGATGGGCAGCCGAGAAATAATAATTTATAATGGTATTTCGCGATATACAATTGAAACTGGAAAGCTTGTATATTCGTAGAAGCACATAAATAAATATTTTAGGACACATTTCGTTATAGGGACATATAGTAGTAATAGGATATATATATAGTCCCAAACTAAGCAACGCTTGTACTATGGGTACTAGAAAACCGATAAACGTACTCAAACATACTTTTCTATTGTAAAATAAATACATACTATACATAAAAACACGCAGACACTGGAAAAACACTATGTTTATCACACAACATTTTTCCAGCGGTGGAGATCGAATCAACACCGCCCTCTGGCTTAAGAGGGAGGTTCACTAGTGGAAGGCGTGGGCGGCGAGAGGCGGCGAGAGGCGGTGAGTAATGTCAGGCGAGTGTTGGGAGGCGAGGGGTAGGAGGCGAGGGGTGGGCAACGAGAGGCGTGAGGCGAGTGGTGGGAGGCGAGGGGTGGGCAGCGAGAGGCGGCGAGGGGTGGGCAGCGAGAGGCGGGCGAGACCTTGCAAAGGCCGAAGTCCGCGATCTTGATGTGGCCGTCCTTGTCAAGCAGGAGGTTCTCCAGCTTGAGGTCTCGGTAGATGATGCCCTCGGCGTGCAGGTAGCCCAGGGCGGACACGATCTCCGCGCCGTAGAAGCGCGTCCGCTCCTCGGAGAAGGAGCGCTCCCTGGACAGGTGGAAGAACAGCTCGCCGCCGTTCGCGTATTCCATCACGAAGCAGACGCGGTCGGACGTCTGGAACGAGTAGCGAAGCGCCTGCGAAAGACAATCATGATTAATGACGCGCCCGCTAGCGGTCATTGACCTAACCATCTCTAAACAATCCTGAATGGAGGCAATAAGTATCTGTCCAATTCAACTTTTTCTTTTTTTAAATCATAGACGGCACGCTGCCCATGGACATTTGCCACCCTCAATGTATGGCTGCCACCTTTTAACAAAGTGGGCCTCGGCTACCTCACTCAGCAGGTGATACGCTAAAGTAGAACACTTCCACTTCACGACGGTCTTCTGCTTCCTCCCATGGATCCAGCGAAGACTGCTACGTGGCCCTACGCAGTGAATCCAACTTTAAAAGTAAATCTAAGATAATTATTATAAAAAATAGATTTAAGATATGCAAGGTCCTCTCAGTACCCTCCTGTCAGACCTTTTTCGAGGATAGTTGAGACGATGATAAGAAGCTGTCAGTTTAGTAGTTTTATCGGACTGGAGTAAGGAAACCAGAATTACTAATGTACGGCTAGATAAACAATTTTAACCTCCTGTTTTATAATATTCTTATCATATAATACAAGTTACTTAACGTGAACTGTTGTAAGTCAGGACATTGAAAAGATGGATGAGCTGTGCGCAAATGCGACATTTAATGTTAAGATAACAATCAATACAATCAGAGGAAATTCTGTGCTTTCTATGTCTGGAGTGCAGAATGTTGTATAGTTGTATTTTGACATTGTATGTATAATATTTAAAATTACTTAAAAGATGAGTTACATCATGTATTAATTACTCCTAATATATTTTTTATGTGACAAAGTGGCAAACGAGCTGGTGGTTCACCTGATGTTAAGTGATAACCGCCACCCATGGATATTTGCTACACCCATAGGGTTAAGATGCGTTGCCACCTTTTAATGCAGTGGGCCTCAGCTACCTCAATTAAATGACAAGCGTGAATACACATTAATCACCATTTTTAATAATAAAGGATAAATTTCTTTTAGTATTGAGAATCGAACCCACGATCCCCGACGCCAATAAATAAATTGGCTACGGCACAGAGTCACGAAACAATTCACCACATATGAATAACATATAGTAACCGTGAGGAAGGGGTGCCTGGTCTTCTTGAGCACATGATTCTCGGTGATGGTGTGCGCCACCTCGTCCTTCTGGATGATGAGGTGCTTCTTGAGGATCTTCATCGCGTACAGCTTGCCCGTTCCCTTCTCGCGGGTCAGCACCACCTTCCCGAAGGTGCCCTTGCCGAGCACCTTCACGAATTCGAACTTTTCCAGGGTCTGCAAGAAATAATGGAATTTTACTAAAAGCAAAATGGCAAGAAAATATTAACAAATATCCATCGGAAGTTATCGCCATATGCATGTATTTTGTATGTACAGTAATACCCCCCTAATTCATAGGTGGAAACTTAATGGGAATTTTATTTTGATGCGAAAACATGACTGCCAGCTCGCTTGCCACCTTCTCACATGAAAAAAGATCGACACTCAGTGGTAGACACAGTCAATGACCTAGAACTAGTCACAACAGACTCACTATGCGCCTGGGATCCCGGAAGCTGGTCCCGAGCTGGGCGATGTCGCAGTCGTCCGTCTCGAAGGACGCCGCGCTGCCGCCGGCCGTAGAACTGGTACCGCCAGTGGCCGGCGTCGGCGTCGGCTTCGGCGTCGACTTCGGCGTCGGCGTCGGCGCAGGCGGCGGCGTCGGCGTCGGCGCGGGTGTCGGCGTCGGCGTCGGCATCAGCATCGGCGCCGCCATCGACGCCGCGGCCGCCCCGCTCAGCTGCGACGCCACGTAGCGGATCGCGGCCACCCATTCCTCCCTGGCGCGCAACAATCAACGTTTGGCAGAGTTCGGTCCATACAAAAGCCACCTCGCTTAGTTTTAATGATGACATAATGATTGTTGCTCGCAAAGCGCGTTTTTCTTATTGAACAAGAGTGTTGTTTACTTTGGTCATTAAAACCTCGTAATTTATTACACCGGCAAATTTTTTGCCATTTTATTTTTTTAATTGCATATAACAGGTCCAAACTGGCTGCAATTAAGTGCTTTCCGGTTTTTTATTCAGTGTCTTTCACATAGAATAAAAAAAAGGTATGGACATGGTTAAGGCACTTGTTGTTCTCAAATCTAAAAGCTTATTTCCATAACATATTTTTTTTATGTGTAATGCAAATAATTTGATGATGATTAAACAGGTATCTATCCTATTCCTTCCTATTCATTCCTATTAAACAGGTACTGCTTCAGTTTTATATACATATCTACATCTACTAAGAAAATATCTAACTGCATACAATTTACGAAATGTAAATACAATAAAAATGTTGCACGTAAAATACTCACTAGTTCTAAGCACATAATTTGAAACATAAATGGATATGTAAATTCCATTACTAAAGATCAAAATAACAATTTAACAGTCTGGTCGTCAATAATTTGACAGTTGAATAACAAATTATGCAGCACTCGTCAGACCTTATGATTAAAATTATGGCATATGAGCATATGACTAATAAGTCAACAGATATGAGTAACATTGTCTGTTCTTGCAAAAACTTGTATTTTATTATTTTGACATATATAATGTTAATTTAAAAATTGTTTTAAATATTTATAGACATACATGATTAAGTAATTTAAATGTCTATCATTATTTTATAGGAAATATAAATGTTTATGTGCAAGGAATTACTTGTATTATATCTTTTAAATATAAGTTTATCGACAATGTGGCAAGAACATTATGTTTTGAGAGAATAAATAAAACATTTATTTGTACCCACTTCCGATATACACAAGAGAAACCATTTTGTTGGTGCCAAAAAATGGAACAAATTTTCAAATATATAATATCTTCATCTTTATGAAAAATGTTTTATGTTCTCTTATGGCTTTTACAGCTTAATTCGCACAGCATGTTTCATAACATAGCATGTAGAACAACTTCCTTAATCATATTTAACAATAGGTGAATAACAGATCCCAACTAAACAGAGTCTGGTTCTGTATTAAAATTTAACCTTGAAATAATAAAGTAGCAGTGAAAAACTGATGATCAGGTAATAATAGCATCCTATTTAAACATACAGACTACCTTCACTTCATGTTTTTATTTATATACTGCTGAAGTATTACATGAACAAATTATTTAAAAAACTATAGTGTAACAAATAAGGAAGAGTTGAACCTGTGTATTTGGTGTAAACATTTACCACATTACACACACTTATTGTGTTACTCAATGCCGAAAATTGCACTCTTGCCTTGAGATAATGTTTTCTTAAAACACAATAAGCTGATATATGGCCTTGGCCTCTATCCATAATGAACTGCATCATTTCAATAAACATAACTAGACCCAGATGACTGATTGCAATACGCTTTAAATAAGTTTTAAAAGTACACGATTTGTATATTTTATATTTATATACATTAGGTATATAATATACAAAATATATGTATAAATCACAATAGCTGACCCGGCAAACATTGTTTTGCTATATAAATTATTTGTAGGGTTATAAAAAATGGGGTGGTCCAACCTTAACACTTAGGGGATGAAAAATAGATGTTGTCTGATTCTCCACCCAGGCCGATACGCACACAAAATTTCCCAAAAATCGGTAGAGCCGTTTCGGAGGAGTTCAATTACAAGCACTGTGATAAGAGAACTTTATATATTAGATTAAAATAACCATTGTAATGTATTATGCTAAAAAGGAACTGTCCAGTGATTATATTTAAAAAAATTTAAAACTGCTTATACAACAAACATACATTTATTGAGAAATAAAGGAAACAGTATTGTGATCTGAAAAGCTAAGGAAGTTGATAGATTTTTATCGTTCTTAGGAGTTCTAGATATTTCTACAAAAATAAAAAAATATGTGAATGATTTAAGAAAAAAAATTATAAAAAAGAGGTTACCTACAGAGTTTTTTTTCGCCTGGTTGTTCTCCTTAGACAATTCTTGATACGAAATGGAGGTAGATTAAGAAAAATTACTATTGATAGATTAAATGATATATAAACACAATTGTTACTTTTAACTTATTATTAATATAAATGTTGACGCTAAAATAAGTTTTTTTTGTCGTGTAGTTAACTATCATATTGGTGTGTACTTGAGTGAGTCAGTCGCGCAATAAACTAGCAAGCTGCAACACGTCTTTTTTATTCAAATAATCCCGCACACTACATACAGTCCATTTTCAACTCTAATACACCAACATATGGTCGAAATCGTTCGCCGGATTTTGCTAGCGGAGCTCGGTCGTCGAGAACAAAAAGAAAAAACATCAACGAGCTGAGAACTAAAAACACGTGTCTTAATATAAAATTTGCATTTACGAACACTACTGTGAATCAAGATTAAGTAATAATTGTGAAATATGGCAAATAAAGAACAAATTCTGTCCGTCTTGGAAGATACTGCAAACTCGCTCAGGAAAACACAAGCCAATCTGAAAAAATGTCCAAAATCTAGACTCACAAAGGGATACATAGAAGCCCGCATTAAAATAATAGATGACTACTGGAGGAGCTTCAAATCTGCACATCAAGATCTGGCTTAGGTAATTCCAAAAGAACAAAAAGGAACATTGCCGTATTTTTTAAACGAAGAATTTTTTATCTATGAAGACCTGTACAACGTCCTCCAGGGCGATTTAAAGGACATGCTTATTGCATCTTCAGAATCTTCATCTATAGATAGAACGAATACCAGCGTCAATGTTTCACAAGTCCAAAACAGTGTGTTACATTTGCCTAATATACAGCTACCAACCTTTGATGGTACATATGAACAGTGGCCTACTTTCATGGACTTATTTATATCATTAGTGCATGAAAACAATTCCTTAAATGATGTTCAAAAACTTCACTATCTTAAAACAAGTGTGATTGGAGAGGTCGAATCAGTATTAAAATATATACAAATTACTTCAAGCAATTATTCACATGCATGGGATATATTAAAATCAAGGTATGGCAATAAGCGATTAATTTTGAATGCTAATATGAAAAGATTATTCAATCAAAGAAAAATGACTTCTCAATCAGCTTCTCAAATAAAACAACTTCTTAATACGACCACTGAAACTTTGAACAATTTACAAAATTTGAAAATTGATATCAGCTCTTGGGATCCGATTATAATTTATCTTCTTGTCCAGAAGATGGACCCAGAGACGCATAGAAGCTGGGAAGAGTATGCTTATAAGGATGATTCAGAGACCTTACCAACGTGGAAAGAATTCAAGAAGTTTCTAGAAACAAAATTTCGAACCTTAGAACTCGTCACTGCAACAAGTGAACGAGAGGTTAAGCGAGTAAGAGAACGTTCATGTCATGTTGCCACACCCGTCGCTGAAAAAAGATGTATCATGTGTAATGATAATCACACGCTGAGTCACTGCAAGGAATTTAGTAAGCTGGAAGCTAAGAAAAGAAGTGAGTACGCAAAGAACAAAAACTTATGTTTCAACTGTTTAGTACCAGGACACTCATCGGTTAAATGCAGACTGCCGGTGTCCTGTCGTATTTGTTACAGACGTCATCATTCTCTGCTACATGAGAACAAGACAACAGAACCAATGGCTTCTACGAGTAATCCTACACCACTGGCTTCACAGCATGTAGTAGAAGAGAACAAAGACTTTCAAGTCAACACAATGGTAGCGTCCCATCACACTACTAAACAGGGAGTAGCTCTACTAGCAACTGCGATCGTGGAAGCATCAAACGAACAAGGTCATACCATTCCACTTCGCGCACTTATCGATCAAGGTTCCCAAGCAACCTTCATTAGTGAAAAGGCGACTCAACTATTAAAACTAAAACGTCGACCAATTAAAGGATCAGTTGTTGGAGTGGGGGATACAAGAACGGAATTAAAACAGGTTGTACAACTACAAATATGTTCACATTGGACCTCAAGCACTAGTATCTCCATTGAAGCCTATGTGATGGCAAGACAACTCACAACAAGATTACCTGCAAAAACAATTCAAACACAACCTTGGCCTCATCTAAGAGGACTTACCTTAGCTGATCCCTCGTACTTTACACCAGGGACAATAGATCTTCTCTTAGGGGTCCAAGATTATTCAAAAATTGTACAAACTGAACTCATCAAAGGTCCGCCAGGTACACCATGTGCACAAAATACCAGCCTCGGATGGATACTTTTTGGAGAAGTCAGTTCAATTCCTCGAGAAAACACTTACCTTGTTCTGCATCATCAAGTTGATGTAGAAGATATGCTGAAAGCATTATGGGAAATTGAACCAGACAAAAGAAGACATTTAACAATAGAAGAAAAGCAATGTGAAGAAATATATACAAAAACGACAACTAGAAACAAAAATGGAATTTATAAAGTAAAGTTACCATTCAAGGTAGACATTCCGCAATCAATTGAAGGAAATTCAAAATTAATAGCCAAACAAAGATTCATGCAACTAGAAAGAAAATTTCGGAAATCGCCAGACCTGAAAAGAGAATACACAAAGGCTATTAATGATTACTTAGAAAAGGAACATATGGAAGAAATCCCAGAACATGAAAAAAAAAAAAGGTCAGTTTACTTACCTCACCACGCGGTCATTCGCAACGATAAAGAGACCACACGAACACGCGTTGTATTCGATGCTTCCTGCAAGGGCTCGAACAATGTATCTTTAAACGATGAACTGTTAGTGGGTCCACAGCTCCAAGAAGATTTAAGAAATATACTCACTAGATGGCGAATGAAACGTGTATGCTTTGTGGCTGACATCCAACAAATGTATCGTATGATATTAGTAACAAAGGAAG